CACCGGAGGCCAAGTGAACTACGCGAGCCTGGCGGCGCTGCTGTAGCTAGCGCAGGAGGAAGTATCGCAGCTAGATGTGATTCGCTATGCCCTCAAGCCGAGGCTCCTGACACTGGAGGATCATAGCCCAATTGTCAGCGTACAGATTTGGGGCACAACTAGGCCGCTCACCTAAGTCTGTGAGCAAGAAGGTCAGCCAGCGGAGCTCTGGTGCTGCCATGGCACCGGCGTAGATCTCAGCCTCACAGCTAGACTATGCAACAGACGACGAGCGGGTGGACCTCCACGATATGCCACCTGCACCAAGGCTAAAGTAGTAGCCCTAGGAGGGCCTGAGTGTCTCAGTGTCGTCCGCCCACGAAGCGTCTGTGTGCCCTGTAAGGACCACTGGTCTGCTTCCTCCTAGCACTAACCCCATGCCCGATGTACTTGCTAGATAACGCAAAACCCTCTTAGCGACTGACCAGTGCTGTGGTCGATGTCTGCCTATGGCCACAAAGCGAGCCAGGATGCTGAGAGGGTATGCCAGATCTGGACAAGTGCAGCATGGAGCAGAGATGAGGTGCAGCCTCGGACAGGAAAGCTAGCTCGTACTGCCTGTCCTCTAGGATGTCATTGCCAAGGACAGGTGCACCCCCGACGGACGGAGTAAAGGCAGGATCAGAGACAAGAGCTGTGGCGTCGTCAAGGCCGCGGGTAGAGGCAAAGTCACGACAGCAGCAACAAGCGCGTCAAGACTAGAGACAGGAACAAACAGGTTGGTAACGAGGGAGGCAAGGACCCGAGGAACAAGAGGACTAGCAGTATGAAGGAAGTCAGAGAAAGGAGGTGGTGCGATAGCAAGCGACGACGGAGGAGGCGATTGGAGGAGGGAAGGACGAGACGCGTGAGAGCGAAGCAACATAGGGTGAGTGCGGGGAACACGAGAGATAGGACGAGCACGAGAGGGACGACGAGACCAGACGTGAGACGGAGGCGTTTGGTCAGGAGACAGAGGAGGAGACACAGGAGGGGAATGAGGGGGGAGACGAACCGGAGACGAGTCGGGCGGAGGAATCACAGGGCCGTAGGCAGGCAGGGGAGGCGGCGACGAAGGAGGCGCATGCGGGGGGTCGGGGGAAGGAAGATTGAGGAGGCGAAGGGCCGACACCAGCGGCGACTGCTGCTGCGGCTGCTCCACGCCGACACCTGAACCTCCAGCTGCACCACGGCTACCCTCGAGAAGCTCCACACCAGCACCCCCAGAACGGGAACCCTCTCCTGCACCGGTGCCACCCCCAGGATCCGTGGACCCCTGCGGCAGCTGCTGCGGTGGCGGCGGAGAATGCGGCTGCGGCTGCGACCGCGGCGGCGACTGCTGCGCCTGCGGTGGCGACGACGGAGCGGAGGAGGACCCTGGGGCAGAGACCGGCGGCGAGGACGGAGCCGCGGGGCCACTAGAGTCAGACGACTCCTCGAGCGGGACAACTGATGGGAGGGGAGTGACGTGAGACACACCAGACGGGGCAGGACGTGGGGAGAGAGGAGCAGGGGCTACCGGGGGAGCTGACACCAGAAACTGGGGCAAGGAAACTGGGAGGCATCTGTGAGGAAAGCGGTGGTAGAAGGAGACAGACTCGTCAAGGGTGACATCGCGCAAGTGAAAGAAGCGGTGGGACGACGGGTGGTAAAAGTGCCAGTCGAACGAGTCGAGGGGAAGCCAAGGAAGACACAGGGGACTTGCGTGCAGTGAGCTTGTCCGTGCCAGAGGCACGAATGTGAGCAAGGCAGCCCCAGACGTGGAACGCAGACGCGTCACCAGGGAACCCTGTCCAGAGAAGGGTCGGCGAAACCTGCGGCCGCTGAGAGTGCGGCCACAGGTTAAGCTGGTGAGCGGTATAGCGAACAGCGAACGTCCACGGAAAATGGGGTGCACCGGCATGGATCATGGAGGTACGAGCCACCTCCATGACCAAACCGATGCGTCGCGAAGCGACCCCATTCTGCTACAGAGAGTCCGGTAGTGTGTACGACTGGGTGATGCCCTCCGCACGACAGAACGGGCCAAGCCGACCAGAGGCAAACTCGTCGCCATGGTCGGAGAGGAGACACAGCACGAGAAGACAGTGGTGGACACACGCAGCTACGACCCACGGGATAAGAACGTCAGGCACGTCGGCTTTCCGTTCGAGGGGAAACACTGTGGGTGTAGTGTGAGTAGTCGTCAACAAGCAGTAGAAAGTAGCGCTCTCGGCGCAGCCCGGGGACGGGGGCTGGGCCCCAGACGTCCAGGTGCAGGGTCTGTAGTGGCGCAGTGGTAGGGCGAAGCGAGGAGGAGTGAGGAGCACGACGCAGCCGGCCCTCGACGAAAGGCGTGCATGGCGGCGCTAGCAAGGGAGGGAGGGCAGGGAGCGACGCAGGGAGCGATGCAGGGAGCGACGCAGGGAGACCTAGGACAACACCGCGCTGGGACATGTGACGCAGACGAGGGAGTGCGGGGTGACCTAGATGGTGGTGCCACAGAAGCAACGGTTGAGTGAGCGACCGACACGAGCAAGCCGCAACGGCCTGAGTAGACGCAGGCACCTAGGGGGACGCCCTCACCAAAGGGGACTCGGTGTCGAGGGTAAACAGGCCAGACCGAGGGTCCCGGGGGAACGTGGTGAGGGGGGTACCTGTAGCGGCGTCGGTACACACCGCGTACCGCTCGTGTCCGGGGAACGTAGTGGTGACGCCGAGGTCCTGAAGACAGCCGACACCAACTAGGTTCCTGGAGAACGAGGGGATGTGCAGGGCCGTAAGGGAGCCTGAGGGAACTGCCGGACAGGGAAGGGTAGTGGAGCTACAAGCAACTACAGTGCCCGAGGAGGGGTCAGCAAGCACGACAACAGCAGGGGCGGCAAGCGATGTGAGCTCAGTGTGATCGCGGAAGAAGCAGGCGGACGCGCCAGAGTAAAGCGTGAAGGAGAACGAAGCGGAAGCTACAGCCGGCGGAGGAGAGAGCGTGGAGCATAGACTAACAAAGCAGAAGGTCCTATGCCTGACGTAGTAGGGGAGTCTAGACTACACACAGGTGACACACCTAAACTAGGCAACATAGGGTAATAAGGTCCGGTCACACTAGAGGCATCAGCATACAGGGCATGCAAAGCAAAACAAATTTGATCCATGCCTATCTAAAAAAGAGACACACCACGGCACACAAGACTGAACCAGTCGGGGAGGTCCGGCATCGGGTCAAAGCGGCGGCGAGAGAGGTCATCGAGGCGGCAGAAGCAGCGGGTGGTAGGGTGCGAACGACCAAACATAGAGCCGCGGAAGGGACCTGTCTGGAGCTGGTACTGGCAACCCCCAGCACTGGAGTTGCTGCCCCATGCCGAGCTGCGAGGGCCGCCACCGCGGCCACCTCCATCAGAGGCACCGGGCCACCCTGGCGGGAGGCGGCCCCACGACTGCTGCTGCTGCTGCTGCTGCGGTGGCTGCTGCTGCTGCTGCTCCGGGGCACCAGTACCGGTCCCCTCGTCGGAATCGCTGTCCCCGCCCCCACCTCCACCATCCCCACTACCCAGACCTCCACCACGCCCCCCCTTGAGGCGGCGGCCCCTACGCTGGCGTGGCTACGCTGAGGCCGCAGCGGCGGTCTCAGCAGCATGGGTTGTCTCGGCGACAGCGGCAGAAACACCAACGTAAGTCCACTGGGAGGGTGCACAGCCCTAAAAGATAGGGACTGTCACAGTACCACTCGACTGAGCGATAGTACGCTGGCGAGTCTCTATCTCGGACAGGGCAGTGACAAAGGCGGTAAGGGTGAGGTCACCGGGGTGCTGACTAAGGAAGTGGTCGCGGGCAGTGGCTAAGCGAAAGGCGCGTGGCTATGAGGTAAAGGGTAGCGCACAGCGGCGGCGGGAAGGCAGTGAGCTGGGCCTCAGTGCTAGCGGCGCGGTAGCTAGCCTCGAGTGCACGGAGGTGAGTGGCTAGGTCAGCGACAGTGAGGAAGGCCGCTAGGTCAGGGAAAAGCATGGGGAGGATCAGGCGGCCAGCGGAGGCAGAGGCGGGCGTGGAGTAGCGATCATCTATTGCCTCGAAGAACGTCTGAGCGTTCGCTACAGCGGTAAAGCGGGGACGCTCAAACAGGGGAAGGGCATGACTAATGGCAAGCTGCGCTACGGCGTTGCGCGAATCCCAGACAGCGCGAGCAAGTGCGGCAGCGGTAAAGGCCTCATACTCGCCCTTGGTGGGGGCGTCAGTGAGGGCGACAGGCGCGGGGGGGAGGGGAAGCAAGCCATCGACATGAACAGCCAGGGAGTGGCCATCCTGGCGCTAACCTGTCAGGTGTCTGCGAAGGTCAACAAGCCAGGCGTCGAAGTCGATCGCGCGCCCCTCCGCGTTCAGACGCAGCACAGCGTCCGCCATCACACGTCCTCAGCGAGACGGCGTCACTGCGACACGGCGGCACGACGACGCGGCTCCACGGCGCCACGGCGTCACTGCGGCACGGCTCCACAACACTACGGCGGCACTGCGGCACGGCTACCTTGCGGCGCGGCTCCACGGCTCCTCGGCGCCACGGTGGCACTGCGGCACGGATACACGGCGGCGCAGCGGCACGGCGGCACGGCGGCGGCGCGGCGGCGGCGCGGCGACGGCGGGAGGACGGCGGCATGGCAGCGGCACGGCAGCGGCACGGCAGCGGCACGGCGGCGGCACGGCGGCGGCTCGGCAGCGGCACGGCAGCGGCACGGCGGCGGCACGGCGACAGCACGGTGACAGCACGAGGCGGCATGGCAGCGGCACGGCGACTGCACGGTGGTATGGCGGCTAGCAGGGCGCGACGGGGCTAGCGGGGCGTACGGGGCCAAGAGGGCGCAAACGGGCCAGCGGGGCGCCTAGGGGCCAGCGGGACGTACAGGGCCAGGAGGGCTCTAATGGGCCAGCAGGGCGCTTAGAGGCCAGCAGGACGTACGGGGCCAGGAGGGCGTCAACGGGCCAGCGGGGCGCTAAGGGAATAGCGAGGGCGGAATCGGGTGGGGGGACAGAACCTACTCGATAGCATCTCAGACTACCAGGATGTTTTAGAAAGATGAGTAGAGTACTTTTACCCAGTGAGTTGTACTCTCTAAAGGCATACCACCTAACTAGCCTATACTAGCATATTGCATGTATGTTTAACAGCACTAGCATTCTATTCTACTCTCTTCTTGTCCTTCGTCTTCGATTCACAAAGAACAGCCAAGTTTTACCACGTGAAGAATGTGGCATTTGCTGTTGGGCATCAGTCCAAGAACAAAGGAAATCTGCAACTCTTCAGGAGAAGAGGTGACGTGCAGTACCCCTTGCTTCTGATCTGGTGCTCATCCATCCACAAGCAGCAGATTGTACTTAGCAGATTGTCTTTAGCAGATTGCATTTAGCAGACTGTCTTTAGCAGGTCATCTTCAGCAGATTGTCTTCAGCAGATTGTCTTGACATTCTTCAGGCCTGATAAGTTCTCCTCTTCCTTCTCGAATTCCTCCAGCACTCCATCCCAGCTTCCTGGCCTCAGCCTCATCCACTCCATGATGAATCGAGCCCAGTCTCCTTTGCAGCAATCCCAGCATCCCAGTGATCGAGGTTACCCCCTGGCTTCATGCGACCAATGGCTGAAGGCTGACGGAGTTGCCAATCGAGCCCAGCCTCCTGTGAAGAAATCCCAGCATCCCTCACTCCTATTTCAACTCTTCTCTGCACTCTTCTGAATTCCTCCAGCACTATCCCTCAGCTCCTTAGCTTCTGCTTCCATAGCCAAACCTACCCACATCCTATCCTCGACTCATCTGCCTGGTCACTTCTCCTGCCCCCCCCCCTCTCCAACCCCTTCTCAAACTCCTCCAGCACTCTCCGCAACTCCTAGCCCTCCGCAACTCCTAGCCCTCAGCCTCCACCCCCTCGGTGGTCCTAATCGGCCCACTCTTTGCCAAATCAGTTCGTCTCACCCCCCTTCTCAAAGTCCTCCAGCACTCTCCTCAGCTCGTTGGCTTCTGCCTCCATGTCCTCCATGGTGCGAGCTGGCCGGTTCTCCTCCGCATCCATTCTCAGCTTCTTCGCCTCCTTCTCGTTCGCTTCCACCTGCAAAGAGACCACAGAGGGAGTCAAACACACACACACACACACACACACACACACACACACACACACACACACACGCCACACAAACACACACACACACACACACACACGCCACACAAACACGCACACACGCACACGCACACACGCACACGCACACACGCACACGCACACGCGCGCGCGCGCACACACACACACACACACGCGCGCGCACACACACACACACACACACACACACACACACACACACACACACACACACACACACACACACAAAGAGTTACATCAGATAGAAGGAGAGCAACAGCATCTATTCTCCTCCCCATCCATTCTCAGCCTCGTCGTCCCCTACTTGCTCTCCTCAATCTGCACAGGGCCCATGCCAGCTTTCCCCATTGTTCACACACCTCTCAAAGAGCCCCGACAGCTTGGCCATTTGAGAGAACACCACTTAGTGGTGGTTTTACCCTTACGTGGCAATATCCGTAGGTAATTTTTGTTCACACTCCTCTTAGAGAGCCCCGACAGCTTGGCCAATTCCAATACAGCCATGCCTTCCCAATTGTTTGGCAGTCATGCCATGGCCGTTCGACCACCTCAAAGTAGGCCTGATTTTGTGAGGTCTGTTTGAGCACAAGGTCGCACTTGTGCTGGCCTATAGTGCCATCGTGTATTAATGTTTTGAGTCGCCTCAAAACGGAATGATTAGCACACGGATTTTGGATGACTCCTGTGGACTCGAGCTTGGCATATTCCTCGTCAAACTTGGCCTTGAGTCGTGCATTTTCCTCGGCTAATCTTTCCGTTCTTCCGTTCTCTCGAGCGAGCTCCGACTCCAGGCTCCTCTTCTTCAGCTCGAGTCGTTTTTTCTTGTTGTTAAGCCTCCCAATCCTTTCCCTCTCCGCCTTGTTGATAGATCGGAGCTGCGCGATCGTCAACTCGTCCTTTAGTCAAGCAATATCCTCCTGCAGGCACAGCGGAGCATGAGTCAGCTTCTGTTAGTCTCGCAGATCGATCCGAAAAGATCGTTGCACTGGCATGGCAACAACTCCTCGACGTTGTTGACTGATATCTTGATTTTGATCGCCCACTTCTGGAAGAAAGGCTCCATGCAGAGATCGGATGCCTCAACATATGGATGGCGCTGGCAGTCGCAAGATTGTTCGTTTTGAGGTGCCTCAAAACTAGTTTTGAGGCGTCCAGTTTTGGGGCGTCTCAAAACTGAACAGATCGGTGATTCTGGCTGTCGCACGGTTGTTAGTCCCCCCCTTGAACGAAAGCTTGTCGTAGTGAATGTGGTATAACGGAAAAAAAAAAAAAAAAAAAAAAACAACAGCTTTAACCTCAATGTAGTGTAGTCCAAGCACTCCGGTAAAAAATCTTCTCTCCACCTGCCACGTTGTGCGCTTGAGCTACTATGAGCAGTCTTAGCAATTGCATATAATACCTGTGTGACACACCTCGTCATAGACCTTATTATCCGGGGAAAATTTTCCTCCTCTCTGCGGCAACATGTGCACATGCACGCGCGTTATGGTTAGCATTCGTCAATAGGAAAGAGCAACTATGTATAATGCCTATGTGACGCACCTGTTTTTGAGGCGTCTCAAAAATAGACTCCTCGGTTAGCATTCTTCAATAGGAAAGAACAACTATGTGTAATGCCTATGTGATGCACCTGATTGTAGATCTTGTCATCCAATTCAAACTTCCCTTTTGCTGCAGCAAGGCGTTCCTGTGCACATAGCATTCTCAGATTTTTAAAAAAGACCGGCATTCATGCCTACGTGACGCACCTCGTTGTAGATCTTATCATTGGGAACAAAATCCCCTTCACTCCACGGCATGACATGCGCTACTGTTAGCATTCTAGAAAATAGCAACCGTCTGTAATGCCTATGTGGTGCACCTCATTGTAAATCTTATCATTCGGAACAAAATCCCCTTCTCTCCGCGGCATGACGTGCACGAGTAGCATTCTTTAAATGAAAAATGGCAACTATATGTATGGGGATGCAACACACCTCATTGTAAATCTTGTCATTGGGTACAAAGTCCCCTTCTCTCCGCGGCATGACGTGCACGTGCACATGCGCCACTGTCTGCCCTGCTGCTGGTCCGTCCTGGTTGAGAGTAAGACATGAAAAGACAGGGAGAGGAATGGTGCGTGAGAATTCTTTCGGATGATGTCTACAAAGCGATGTGCTTTTCAGTCGATTCAAAAGCTTGTGAGTGAGGATTCTTTCGGATGATGTCTAGAAACTGATGTGCACATTTGCTTGCGACACCGCCTGAAAAAACTAGGAATGACGTGGGCGAAGGGAGAGGGGAGGCGAGGGAAGGAGACACTCCCACGGTGATGATGATGCCTAAACATGAAGATGCACGTGCGAGAGGGGAGGAGGTGAGAAAATATGCTTTCAGACTCCTAGAATGGCAAATGCACGAGCGAGATTGTCCGCCCTGCTCAGCCCCCCCCCCAAAAAAAGGAAGTGGATGATGTACACTGATGATGAGGCTCAACGGACAATGTGTTAGGCGGCACCTGCAATATGGGCTCACTAGCATAGGCGAATATCTTAATGGGGTGGATGCTCACACCTCATGATGTGCAGCCATGGCGAGACTCAACAGCTTACATGGCTACCCAGACAGAGGTGACAAACCATCAGGTGGCTTACCTCCAACATACCCGAATGGTGTAGGTGGACGATGCACGGCCATGGTGCTGCTCAAAGTTCGACCTTCGAGGCGCCGAAGGATGGACTCACGCACATGCTCGCATGCAGAGTCATTTTTTAAGCAAAGAAGCTAAGAGGCTACGAAGCTTCTATAGGATTAACAATCAAGAGCTTTACTTAGTGATGCGGACATCCGGTCCTAACCTGATTTAATGATTAAAATTTTTCAATATGCCTGAATGATGTAGGTGGACGACGCGTGCAGCAGGCTCAAAGGCTTGGCCGATGTTTGAGGCGCCTGGCGATGCACTGAACTCACCCACATGCTCGAGTGCCGGAATGATGCAGGTGAACGATGTGCAGCCATGATGAGGCTCAAAGGCGCGTCAGAAGTCAAGGTTTGAGTCGACTCAAAAGTCACCTCGTTACAATGTCACACTTTCGCTTCAAGGAGAGCTATAATCGTGTGGAGGTTGCCGAAGAGAGTTGGGAACTTTTTAGTTTCTGCTCATAAGTGCTAGTATACAATAGTTTTTACTGATTGTGCTTATTTCGTTTTTTGCTGCGTCCCCACTTTCTTCGCGACGGTTTCCCCGCGTGAGATGAATCTTGGGCGACATCCTCTAGGCGTATAAGTAGTGCTTCTTTTCATTAGGACTCTGTGGTCTGAAGAAGGCTTCAAGCCAAAACCGGTTACCGCCAATTTTTTATTCAAGAGTTTTTTAATGCTACCAATGCATCCGACACCGACACCAACACCAACGTCACCAAGTCTAACCAGCTCCGTTGATCCGCACGAATCATGAGGACTCAAAGCCCGAGGCGTCTTCGGAAGGATAAAGAGTTGGTGGAATTCAAATATGTACCAGAGTCTCCAATTTCTCGCTCTAACCAGAAGAGAGCTCAGCAATTCCCGCTCGAACCTCTTCCTGGGACAGTCGACGCTCCTGCAGTTCGTTCTTCTTCTGAGCCTGCCACCAGGCCTGCGACGGAACTTGTGACCATGGCTGCGCCGATGCAAGAACCTGTTCACGAAATTCATGATGTTGTTATGACTGACTCCTTCGATTTTCTTGGTGACCTCAATAGGGACTTTCTTGACAAGCAGGCCACTCCCTCTTGTCTCAACAATTTGAAGAGTCAAGCTGCTAAGGATTTTAAGAATAGCTTTCTAATGCACCGAACCCTTCATCAGCAATATAACTTCATGACTGAGCAGAAGACCAATGGGATTATTCCCCATAGCATCAGGATCAAACCTTTTGCTTTTATCTGCAATTCGGAAGAACTCCGCCAGGAGACTGACAAGGACCTAGTTGCGGCTTGTGATAAGTACTGGAAAGCGGCTCAAGACATCCTTATTACCAGGAAGAAGAAAGCCGCCGATGAAGCTCGTAACGAGGCAGTCGCAGTTTTCCAGCGCCTGCAGGATCAGATTATGAACTACATTAATCTGGCTAAGAAGACTAACATCGGCACCAAGAATTCTAAGCTGACAAAGCTCCTGAATTATTTCAAGGATCGGGTGATTGCTGAATTCAAGGATTCGACGTCTGATATTGTCATGGATATTCTAAGCTGACGAAGCTCCTGAATTATTGTCCACGACGCGACGACGCATGCGGCCCAGACTTTGGGACGCTCCTTCGCGAAGATGGCGGGACGCAATGCCTCTCGTCGGAAGCCGCGCCATTTTGCACCGGCAAAAAACAGGGGAGATTCCGGCCGCGAAAAAGCTGTTGCCGTCGAGTAGCAGCGCGACCCGGTTTCGGGTCGGGTATACCTGACCTGACTTCGGGTTTTAACCCGAACTCGGGTATTCAATACCTAACCCGGCGGGTACTAGGCTTGAGCAAAACCGGGTAATTACCCGACCCGACCCGGTTTTGCAATACCCGACCTCGGGTCGGGTAATTTCGGGTCGGGTCCGGGTCGGGTAATATGCCCAGGACCCTTACCCGGACCCGGCCTTAAGCAGCGGGTAATACAATACCCGCCTGGCGGGTCCGGGTATACCCGACCCGGTGACCCTGAAAAGCGGGTAATACTACCCGCCACCTACTAGTGGACATCCTAAAGTTGGGCTAGGCTAGGTAGGGTTCCTGGAAACGCGACTCTCAAATGACCGCCCAACTCCCTCCCTTTCACCGCACTGAACTCCTCCCCCTCTACAAACTCCAATTTCCAACCAAACTCCCTCCCTTTCACCGCACTGAACTCCTCCCTGTCAACGAACTCCAACATTTCCAACAAAACTCCCTCCCTTTCACCGCACTGAACTCCTACTCATATACAAACTCCAACCTCTTCTCCAACTCCCACCCAACTCCCTCCCTTTCACCGCACTGAACTCCTCCCCGTCTACAAACTCCAATTTCCAGTCAAACTCCCTCCCTTTCACCGCACTGAACTCCTCCCTGTCTACAAACTCCAACATTTCCAGCAAAACTCCCTCCCTTTCACCGCACTGAACTCCTACCCATCTACAAACTCCAACCTCTTCTCCAACTCCCACCCAACTCCCTCCCTTTCACCGCACTTAACTCCTCCCCATCTACAAACTCCAACTTCTCCTCACAAATGCTCCGCTCGTCCCCCCTCACCTCCAAAACCGTTTTTGCCGCAAAACCTAAAACACAGCGCGACTTACGCCCATGTCTAGGTGGAATACCCGACCTCGGGTATTTTTTACCCGACCGGGTCGGGTACCCGTTACCCGACACGTCGGGTAGCATTTCGGGTAGCGGGTATTGATACCCGGCCCGGGTAACCCGGACCCGACCCGCCGGGTAATTTTCAGGATTTCCGATACCCGACCCGCCCTAAAAGCGGGTCCGGGTACCGGGTACCCGACCCGGGCGGGTAGTTTGCTCAACCCTAGCGGGTACCCGTCGCCTGCGCCTTCGGGTAGCATTTCGGGTAGGGGGTATTGAATACCCCGCCCGGTAGACATGAGCAAAACCGGGTAATTACCCGACCCGACCCGGTTTTGCCCTACCCGCGATCGGGTCCGGGTCGGGTCGGGTCGGGTAATTTCCGGGTAATGTTTGGAGATTTGTTACCCGACCCGGCAATTTAATACCGGGTAATTGGGTACCCGTCTGTCGGGTCGGGTATACCCGACCCGCATTTATTTAAAGTCGGGTAATATTACCCGACTATCCCTAGGTGAGTATAAAATTCAGCACGAAGGGCTACTGTATGCTATGACCTGATGAGAATGCATCTCAAACACTTGTGACTGCATTGTTGAGGTATCTGGGAATGAAACAATTCTTTTACTCGTGTTATCCAGGACATAACTGCCTTAAGTCTGGAACTTGTCTCTATTCTAGGGGTGTTTTTTGCAAAACCAAAATGTTTTACCATCATGCATGACACCCGACCAAGTAGTGTTCAAGTGTGTTTGTAGCTCGCTTCAGGAGGGCGTTTGAGGTAGGAAGCATGCGATCTAGCAAACTAGCCAATGCAACAAACGCAGCTACCATGTCAACATGAGGTCTCGGGTGAGTGTGCACCCTCACATAGAATGCGAGTATACCAAGGAGAGTTTAAGCAATTCCGGAATGTGACCAATGCCCCTCCCTCACAGCCCTTCGTCATCACCCTCAATACACACCTCCCCCGACCCTCCATCGTGATGTGCCATGGGGAGTTTGACGTCCGCGTGCTGCGTCATCCATGACTTGATAGTCATGGTTGCGCGCACCTGAGCAGGACTTAACCGAGCAGGCAAGAAAAAACGCCAAGGTGAGCCCTTGTCTACCCATTACCCTAGGATTCGTTAAAACAAGCAGCGGTTTGTAGTACAACCGCTGCAGAATGCTCCTAGGCGCATGTTAGGGTAGGCTTAGGTCGAACGCAACTAGAAAGGTAAACAATCGCGTGAAATTTCGACCTTATGGTCGAAATTTCCCAACCAGCGCAAAAATTGACGCGCTGGTTGGCGTCGGGTAATTACGCGACCCGAAACCGGGTCGGGTACCCGCGACCCGACTTCGGGTAAAAAACCCAAGGTCGGGTAGGGAACCCGCAACCCGTCGGGTAATAAATTACCCAACATTTAGGGTAATTTTCGGGTAGCGGGTATGCATTACCCGGCGCGAGTACCCGACCCGACCCGGCCGGGTAATTCGTCAAATTCCCATTACCCGACCCGGCCAAAATGTCGGGTCGGGTCGGGTACCCGCGACCCGACCGGGTAAAATGCTCAAGTCTACCGCCCGGGTAACCTGGACCCAATCCGCCGCCGGGTAATTTTTAGGATTTCCGATACCCGACCCGCCCTAAAAGCGGATCCGGGTACGGGTACCCCACCCGGGCGGGTAGTATGCTCAAGCCTAGCCCTAGCGGTCTTCAGAGATTCGGTCGCCAGCAGCGTCGCTGATGAGACTTTTCGCTCCAGAATCTGAAAGAACATCTTCCCTACTCTTCGACGGCTTGCTTCCAACCCAAATATAATTTTCAAACCTGCAGACAAGGTGCAAAAAAACGGCGTTTTTTACTTTTTTTTACCGTATAAAACGGGATCGTATAAAACGGGATCGTATAAAACAGCCGTTTAATACGATTAAAACGGTTAAAAGTGGTGTTTTCTGACTGGTGCAAAAAACCGGCCGTTTCATACGGTCGTTTTTTTCATACCGCCGTAAAAAACGGAAGTTCTCTTTATATCGAGGAGGGTGAAAAGGGTGAGGAGGGTGAGGAGGAGGGCGACTAGAGCGAGGAAGGGGAGAACTAGGGTGGGGAGGAGGAGGACAATTAGGAGGAGGAGCAGAGCCGGAGTAGAGTAGGAGGACTAGGAGGAGGACAACTAGGAGGGTGAAGGAAGGGCTAGAAGGACAATGAAAGCAAGTCTAGGAGGACAAGGTTGGTGTTTTAGATGCACGTAGGCTGTCGCCTCGCCGCTCTGTTTCCAAGCGGTTTTTTTACGTTAAGGGTATGTATATATTTTTTATTTTTATTTTTTAAAAACTCTTAACAAAAAAACGGTAGAATTTGCATAAATCTGCCGTATAAAACGACCATAAAAAACGGACCGTTTAATACGGAAACCGTTTTTTTGCACCTTGCCTACAGAGAAAAACCTCAGCCTAGCGGTGATGAGTAAAGACTTTTATCAATAAAAATGTTTCCAACATCTTCTGAATCCGAAAGTCTACGGAGAGTACTCTTCAGTTCCCGTTGGCGATATTCTGCACAAATTCCATTCCATTCACGAGGAATTTCACCTAGGCATGAGCAAAACCGGGTAATTACCCGACCCGACCCGGTTTTGCCATACCCGACCTCGGGTCGGGTAATTTCGGGTCGGGTCCGGGTCGGGTAATATGCCCAGAACCCTTACCCGGACCCGGTTTTTTTAGGCGGGTATTATAATACCCGCCTGGCGCGTCCGGGTATACCCGACCCGGACCCCCTGAAAAGCGGGTAATTTTACCCGCCACCTACTAGTGGACATCCTAAAGTTGGGCTAGGCTAGGTAGGGCTAGCCTAGGTAGGGCTCCACTCGTCCCCCCTCACCTCCAAAACTGTTTTGCCGCAAAACCTAAAACACAGCGCGAATTACGCCCATGTCTAGGTGGAATACCCGACCTCGGGTATTTTTTACCCGACCGGGTCGGGTACCCGTTACCCGACACGTCGGGTAGCATTTCAGGTAGCGGGTATTGATACCCGGCCCGGGTAACCCGGACCCGACCCGGTGGGTAATTTTCAGGATTTCCGATACCCGACCCGCCCTAAAAGCGGGTCCGGGTACCGGGTACCCGACCCGGGCGGGTAGTTTGCTCAACCCTAATTTCACCCTCTAATTTCTAAAAAGATCTGCTTCTTTTTACAAGGCTCCTAAGAACGGATGGAAGATTCCAGCATTCTACATCCTTTTGAAGATACATAAAAAAATCCCAGTTGGTCGACCAATTGCGGCATGTCACTCCTGGGTTACGTCTAATGTCTCTCGCTGGCTGGACGCAGTACTTCGACCTCTGGTCTTACAGCAGTCCACCTATGTTAAAGACTCTCAAAGTCTTCTTCTCCAGCTTGAACAGCGGCGTTTCTCCAAAAATCTCTTTCTCGCGTCTTACGACGTGGGATATTTATACCCGTCGATTCCCCTACATGACGGGATTGATGCTGTTTCTTTTTTCTTACAAAGGGCTGGACATCCGCTAGCTCCGCTCCGCTGGTCACTCGCCTGCTGAAATAGGTGATGTTCAACTGCTATGTTTCTTTTGACGGCAGATTTTTTCACAAAATTCACGGGACCGCCATGGGGACGTCAATCGCAGTTTGCTTCCCAATCCTGTTCATGAGCTTCCTTGACATTCAGCTGCACCGTTCGATTCCTTCACCCCCCACTCTACACCTCCGCTTCATTGACGATGGTCTGATTTTGTGGGAGGGGTCGAGGGAAGATTTTCAACGGCTAAAAGCGCGTTTCGACACGCTTCATCCTTCGATTCGCCTGACATGGGTACTGTCGGAAACTTCAATGGATTTTCTGGACGTTACTTTCTTCAAAGGGGAACGTTTCAAGAATTTCGGGGTTCTGGACGTTAAGCTGTTTCAGAAGCCGATTAATCAGTATCTGTACTTACCCTTCAGGTTTTATCATTCCCGGACTACCAAACTTGGTTTCATCCGAAGCGAACTGCGCAGATTTTTGCTGCGGACTTCGTCACGGGCTGACTTCCTGAATTCCAGGACCCTTTTCTTTGCTCGGCTAAGAGCCCGAGGGTACCCGGAGAAATTTCTGCTACCAGTTTTCAAGTCAGTCTCTTAAACGTCCCTCGTGTTGAAATGTTTGCTCAACCCCTTGGCTGACCGTTCACACTTGGGGAAACTTGCAACTCTTTTGCGACTCTCTTAAACGTCCCTCGTGTTGAAATGTTTGCTCAACCCCTTGGCTGACCGTTCACACTTGGGGAAACTTTTGAGACTACTCAAAAGTCACCTCGTTACAATGTTACACAACACTTTCGCTTCAAGGAGAGCTATTATCGTGTGGAGGCTGCCGAAGAGAGTTGGGAACTTTTTAGTTTCTGCTCATAAGTGCTAGTATACAGTAGTTTTTACTGATTGTGCTTATTTCGTTTTTTGCGCATCCCCACTTTCTCCGCGACAGTTTCCCCGCGCGAGATGAATCTTGGGCGACATGCTCTAGGTGTATAAGTAGTGCTCGTTTTCATTAGGACTCTGTGGTCTGAAGAAGGCTTCGAGCCGAAACCGGTTACCGCCGATTTTTTACTCAAGAGTTGTTTACAAGCACTCTACGAACTAACATTCACAGGTGTCATCCTCTAGTTGCTGCCACGTATTGACACAGTGGCACCTAACTCACCCACGTGCTCGCATGCTGGAATGATGTAGGTGAACAATGTGCAGCCATGATGAGGCTCAAAGGCGCGTCAGAAGTCGACTCGCCTACGTACTACTTGCCATACCAGAATGGAACCAAACACGCACATACCGGAATGGTGTAGGTGAACTATGTGCAGCCATGATGAGGCTAAACCGCCTGACCGACTTTCCATGTCAGACGCTGCATGCAGTGGTGACATATGCAGACGATGGTAATGGGTAACATTGTAACATACCTGAATGGTGTAGGTGGACGACGAGCATCCATGATGGGGCTCGAACGCCTGGCCGATCTTCTGTGCTAAGAGCCACATGTCTGTGACCTCCTCCTGAGTCATGTCCTTATAACGAGGGACAACGCGACGGGGAAGCACGAGCACGTGACCTGCGAAGAGAAACCACGGTAAGCAGTATATGCGCTTTAGAGGTTAGCTGAAGCTGAAATACACTTTTTCCTGCACACGTTTCTGTGTGCACACTTTCCGCATTCCTTCATTCATATCTCATGCGACAGAAGGAATGCGGTCTTTCGGTTCTAGGTTGAAGATATGGCAACACGGATGAGCAGCCGAATTCTGAGGTGCCTTATTCCGTGTTGCCGTTTCTCAAACTTCTATCACGAGATTTAAGAAACGGCAACACGGACAAGCATCCTAATTCGTCGTATTCTTCGCACCTTCTACATGATACTAGGTTTGCGGCGCTTACTACAACGGGGGATGGCTGAGTAGGTCCTGCAATTTCAAAGTCGTCACATTCTCCGCACCTTTCACAACGGGTTTGAAGTTGACTATAGCGAGGGAGAGCTTCGTTTCAGCGAACACCTCTCTGGGATCCAGATCCCACCGTCCGAACTTGAACTTCGTCGCTGGCGGATCCACTGGCGTTTCTGACGTGGAAGGCGGTGCGTCTGACGTGGAAGGCGGTGCGTCTGACGTGGAAGCCATAGCTCTAGCAAAAGAATAATGGGACTGAGTCCCCCGCGAAGATACCGGTACTGTTTGACTCTGGCCAAAAGCGGGAAAGATCAGAATTCGAGGAGAGGAAACAAGGCGGCTGTTAATGACGGGCGCGGCAGGAGCAGCCGCGCGAACGAGGCTTGCGGCGCCCACACGGAGAGTCAAAGAGAGAGCCGTCGCGGCAATCCCGAGGGGAAAAGTAGCCAGGCAGGGCAGGAAAGGAATCTAGCACGCCGTGGTTTGCGGCAGTGTGGGAATGCTGAGAAGCAGAGAGGAGGCGAGGCAGGAGGGTTGCCACAACGGCTGGCTTGGGATAAATGTAATTATCAGATTCTGTACATAATTTACAAAGCACTTATAAATTCAAATTCAGTATCCAACATTACCATCAATGCAACCAAAAAAGGAAAGAAAATTTATGAGGTATTCTGGATATGCGAGTTTATTCTTGTGTTCCATGTTCATCGCAAGCAAATACTTATGCCAATTATCACATCACTAGTTCTGCCACTACTTGTCTTGACGACACACAAAATTAAAACCAATCCCTAAAGGTTTGCTACACGTGCATGCTAAGACAAGCGGATGTACATGTTTTCAAGGGTTCAGCTACTCAAAACTTCCGCTGCACTACTCAAACACCTTGTACAAGTGGGACTTAGTCTCTAGAAAGATCCTAAGGGCTTTTCTAAACCCAATACACGCGGATCCCTACCTTAATATTTCTTCAGCTTATTGCAGAAAATTTGTCTTAGAATAACGCATCGAGTGAAACGAGCATACATGGTGGTTTTGTGCTAGTGTGTTGTACTCTCTATGGGCACGCAAATATCTAGCATATAACAACATATGAATAGAAGTAGACACACCCCCTAGGGTAGAAAAGGGGCAGTGCCTAGCAAGAGACACAGCTCAGGGCGGCACTACTAGTCCAACCTCTGAGGCAAGGGTCAGAAGACCAGTCGACCAGTCAGAAGAGTACAAACTAGACAAGAGCAACCCAGGGCGGCACTACTAGTCCAACCACTGGAACAAAAGCCACAAGACCAGTCAAGAGAATATAAAAAGAGTAGTACACAATCAGGGTCCTAGCAATTGAGGAGCTACTAGAACTAGACCAAGCTGTACACAGTGTCGCTGATGATCTTTAGGCGCAAGCGCTTTAGTAAAGATATCAGCTGAGCTGGCACCGAAGGCCAAGTGTACTACGCGGGCCTGGTGGCGCTGCTGTAGCTCACGCATGAGGAAGTACCGCAGCTGGATGTGCTTCGCTCTGCCCTCCAGTCGAGGCTCTTGACAGAAGAGGATCGTGGCCCTTTTGTCAGCATACAGGACCAGGGCAGAGCTAGGCCGCTCACCTAACTCAGTGAATAAGAACATCAGCCAGCGGAGCTCCTGTGCCGCCATGGCACCAACGTAAATCTCAGCCTTACAGCTGGGACTGTGCAACAGACAACGAGCGGGTGGACCTCCACGAAATAGCGCCTGTACCAAGGCTAAAGCAGTAGCCCTGGAAGGACCTAAGCGTCTCAGCGTCGTCCGCCCATGAAGCGTATGTATGCCCTGTTAGGACCACTAGCATTCGTCCTCCTAGCACTAGCCCCATGCCCGATGTACTTGCTAGATAACGCAAAACCCTCTTAGCGGCCGACCAGTGCTAGGGTCGGTGTCTGCCTGACGCCACAAAGCGAGCCAGGATACTAAGAGGGTATGCAAGATCTGGACGAGTGCAAGTCATCAGGTACATGAGGTAGCCCACAAGCTCTACGTACAGAACACTGGGCTCAACCGACTCGTCAAGGGCTGGAGCCGAGAGCCTGTGATCAACTGGCAGAGGTGTAGGCTGTGCGGAGGAGAACTGAAGGTCGAACCTCTGAAGGACTTGGCGCACCAAGTGTGTCTCCTAAGCAGATCAGCCTTCACCGCGGCCAGTGCGTCTGAGTCTGCAGTAGTGAAGATCAGGTCGTCTACATAGACTAGAATGTAGAACGAGTTTGGCCTGAGCGAACGAAGAGCGAAGGAACTCCAGACGACGGGAAGAACTACAGGTCAGCTAACGTAGCACGCAGCATATCGTGCCACTCACGGGGCACCTGATGCATGCCGTAAACCAGGCACCGGAGGAGCCACTGGGTCCCAAGGGAAAGTGCCAGAGAAGCCTGGCAGTCGGCGTAGGTAGACCTGCTCGTGCAGACTGCCCTGGAGAAACGATGTGGAGAAGTCGAGAGAGTGCAACTCGTAGTCGCGTTGTGCTACTGCATGAAGCAGCGCCCGAAGATTGGTCATCTTCTAGGTTGGGGCGAAGGTCTGAAATAATTCAACACCCTCGTGCTGACTGAAGCCTCTAGCAATGTAGCGCGCCTTGAACACTGGTGGCTCTCCAGGAGGGTGCTTCACCTTGAAGGGCCACCAGCCATCGACTACGTTCACCCTAGGTGGGGGAACTGCGTCAATACGTGCCGATGGATCTCGAAGATGTCATCTCCGCGTCCATGGTAGGTATCCACTGAGAAGCCCAGGATCATGAGGTCGCCTCAACGTAAGTTCGAGGGGTCGGGATGTCAAGGGCGTCTGGGTCATCCTCAGGGACTAGCAGTATGGAGCAGAGATGAGGAGCAGCCTCGGACAAGAAAACTAGCTCGTACTGCCTGTCCTCTACGACGTCACTGCCAAGGGCAGATGCACCCCCGACGGACGGAGGATGGGCAGGGTCAGAGACCAGAGCAGTAGCATAGTCAAGGCAGAAGATAAAGGCAAAGTCAATAACTGCGGCGACAAGAGCGTCATGACTTGAGACAGGAACGGACGGAACAAGAGAGGCGAGGACACGAGGGACAACAGGATGAGCATCACGAAGAAAGTCAGAGAAAGGAGGCGAAGAGACACCAAGGGATGATTGAGGAGGCAACGGGAGAAGAGGAGCACGAGACGCGTGCGAACGGAGCATTATTGGGTGAGAGTGCTGAACTAGGGAGAGAGGACGAGCACGAGAGGGACGGCGAGACCAAAAGTGGTAGGGAGGCGTCGGTGCAAGAGACACAGGAGGAGACACAGGAGGAGACACAGGAGGAGATACAGGAGGAGACACAGGGGGAGAATGAGAGGGGAAACGAGCCAAGGACGAGTCTAGTCGAGGAAACACAGGGCCGTAGACAGGCGGAGGAGGCGGTAACGGCGGAGGCGCGGGGCGGCCAGTCGGGGGAGGGAAGACCGAGGAGGTGAAGGGCGGACACCGGCGGCGACTGTGGTTGTCGCTGCTCTTGCTACTCCGCGCCCATACAAGAACCTCCAGCCGCACCACTGCGACCTCTAGGACCCGCCATGACAACACCCACAGGACGAGCACCCCTAGAACCAAAACCCTCTCCGACACCCGCGCCAACCCCAGGGCCCCGGGACGAGCCACAACAGTCACCCAAGGACTAGCGCCCCTAGGACGAACACCCCCTAAACTAGAACCCTCTCCAGCACCCGCGCCACCCCTAGGACCGCCGAGACAAGCCACTACAGTAACGATAGGACTAGCGCGCCCAAAAACAGCACCTGCACCCCCAGTACCCGCGGACTCCTGCGGCTGCGGCTGGTGCAGCGACGACGACGGCAGTGGCTACGGTGGCGACGATGGCTGCGGCGGCGGTAGCGACTGCTGCTGCTGCAGAGGCAAAGGAGATACCGAGGCAGAGGGCGCAGAGACGGGCAGCGGACCCTGTGCCACAGGGCCCCCTGAGTCAGCGGACTCCTCCGCCGGGGCGACAGAGAGAAGGGGAGAGACGTGAGACACACCAGACGGGGCAGGACGGGGAGCGGGAGCTACCGGGGGAGTGGGGACAAGGAATAGGTGTGGGTGACCGGGAGACCTCAGTGGGGAAAGCGGGTGTTCAAAGAGACAGACTCGTCGAAATTGATGCCACGCGAGTGAAAGAAGCGGTTAAATAGCAGGTGGTAAAAGTGCTAGTCAGACGCATGAAAGGGGAAGCCAAGGAAGACACAAGGGACAGTGCGGGCGGTGAGTTTGTCCGCGCCAAAGGCACGAATGTGAGCGAGGCAGCCCCAGACGTGGAATGCTGATGCGTCACCAGGGGACCCGGTCCAGAGGAGGTTCGGCGAAACCTGTGGCCGCTGGGAGTGTGGCCATAGGATAAGTTGGTGAGCGGCGTAGCGAACAGCGACGGCCACAGAAAATGGGGTGTACCGACATGGATCATGGAGGTACGAGCCACCTTCATGACCAAACTGATGCGCCAATCAGCGACCTCATTCTGCTGCAGAAAGTCCGGCAGAGTTTACAACTGGGTGATGCCCTCCACACGATAGAGCTGGCTAAGCCGACCAGAGGCGAACTCACCGCCACGGTCGGAGTGGAGACGCAGCACCAGCCAGCCGCGGTGTACTCGCGCAGCTACGACCCACCGGATAAGAACGCCAGGCACGTCGGCCTTCCGCTCCAGGGGAAACACAGTGTTGTAGCGTGTGTAGTCATCGACGGGCACTAGAAAATAAAGCTCGCGACGCAGCCCGAGGACGGGGGCTAGGCCCCAAATGTTTAAGTGCACGGTCTGGAGTGGCGCAGTGGTGGGGGGAAGCGAGGAGGAGTGAAGAGCACGGCGCAACGGACCCTCAACGCAGGGCGTGCACGGAGGTGCGGGCGTGGGAGAGAGGGTAGGGAGCAACGTAGGGAGACCTACAGTAAGACAAGACTGTGCTGGGGTATATGACTCAGACGCTGGAGTGCGGGGTGACCTAGGCGGTGGTGCCACAGAAGCGACGGGTGAGTGAGCGTCCAACACGAGCAAGCCGCAACGACCTGAGTAGGCGCAGCCACCTGGGGGGACGCCCCCATCAGGGGGGACGCGGTGTCGAGCGTGGACAGGCCAGACACCGGGTGTCGGGGGAATGTGGTGAGGGGGGCACAAGTGGCGGGCTCGGTACAGACTTCGTACCACTCGTGTCCAGGGAATGTAGTGGTGACGCCGAGGTCCTGAAGACAGCCGACACCATCTAGGTTCCTGGAGAATGAGGGGATGTGCAAGCTTGTAAGAGAGCCCAAGGGAACCACCGGACAGAGAAGGGTGGTGGAGCTACGTGCAACTACCGAACCTGAGGAGGGGTCAGCAAGTGCTACAGCGGCAGGGGTGGCAAGCGGCGTGAACGTAGTGTGGTCGCGAAAGAAGCAGGCGGATGCACCTAAATCTAGCATAAAGGAGAGCGTGGTGGTATTGTCAGCCGGCGGGGCACTAGCGTG